TTGAACCCAAGGACTCAGATGTGGGAGATGTGTCTGATTGGCATCTTAGCCACCAGGCCACACATGGCTCCAGGAGTTGCTGTAGGTGCATCCCAGCGTCTGCCACGACAGTCACTTAGCCTGAGGCTCCATGGCACGCTCGCCATGTTGGTATGTCTCTCTGGGACTCTGGCGCCCACCCTTCCTTCTGTCCCTGGGAGTGTGACTTGTCTGGGCACTCATAGAAGTAGAACTGTACACACACTCACGTGTGTCATGTGTGTCACGTGTGACCTCGGGATTCCTGCGCACTGCTGCACAACTCACTTGCCTGCCTTTTTGAGGCTGAATGATGTCCCACCATGAGAACACACCACCTCTCTCTGCCACGAATGCTTCGGCGGGTGCTGCCCAGTTGCACCATGTCCTCCACTTAGATTGATCCTGCAGCTCTGCTAGGGGCCATGCAAAATCTACATATTTAAACAAAAGGTTTATTTTCTTACTTGGAAAGCAGAGTCACACACACACAGAGCAGGAGAAAGATCCTTCTGTCCACTGGTTTACTTCCCAAATGCTTGCAACAGCCAGGGCTGAGCCAGGCCGACGCCAGGAGCCAGGAACACCATCCAGGCTTCCCACAGGAGCAGCAGGGGCCCAACTGCTTAAGCTCACTGCCTTCCAAGTCATGAACAGGGAATGGGTCACAAAGAAGCATGGAGTAGACAGGGCTTGGACTGGTATTGCAATATGTGATGTGGGTGTCCCAAGTAGTGGTTTAACCTACTGCACCACAATGCTTTAATCTTCTGAACTTTCCATCTGCTGGTTCCCTCCCCAAATGGACACGATGGCCTGAGTTGGGCCAATCCAAAGTCAGGAGCCAGGAGCTTCCTCTATGTTCTCAATGCGGATGCAGGCTCCCAAGGTCTTCTGGTCCATCCTCCATTGCTTTCCCAGACAGAGAGCTGGATGGGAAGTAGAGCAGACAGGACTTGAACTAGCGCCCACATAGAATGCAGGCACACAGGCAGAGGCTTAACCTTCTATGCATTCTTAACCCCTCTTTAAGGCCTCGCCTCCCTACACCACCCAACATCACCGTGAGTCCCAGAGCGACAAGCCACATCCCAAGCCACAGCAGTATGCATGCTCTCCACAGTTCTTTCATTTCTTCCTGTCTTGCTTGTTCCTCTCCCCCTCTGCCCTGCCTGTACTCAGGATGTCCCTCCATGGCCTCCACATAGCCTCCTCCTGCCCCTGGCCCTGTTCAGCCTAGCTACCGCCACCTCCCATCTACCCCTGCCTCCCCCGACACTCTGGGTACATCCACTCCTGCTGCCCCCGCCCCGGAACCTTTTTTACCAGCCAGCCCCGGCCTTGGCAGGCCTAGGAGCTGGGCTCCCGCCAAGGGCTGTGTGCATGACCGGACTCTGCGCAGCTGGCCCCCACAGCCTGCAGTGTTCCCATTGGCCACAGCCCCCAGGAACAGGGAGGGAAGGGGAGGGAGGAGGATGCCCTTCCTGTGGCACCTGCTGATAATTGGCTCTCCGGAACCCATCATCGTCGCAGACGCCAGGGCCAGCGGGGTCAGAGAGTGCTGCTCCCTGGGGGCTTGTGGGACTGCATCTGGAGAACTACCTGTTCGTAGAGGATGTCCTCTAACCTGGGGCCCCCTCCAGAGGTGAGACCCTCAGCTGCGACCTTGTGCCCTCCCTCTGTCCTGGGTCTTCCCACCTCCCAGCCTCCACCTCAGCCTATAGATGCTCCAGGGTCAATTCAGACCCCACTCAGGTTGGGAGAAGGAGCGGAAAGTCTCCGAATGCAGCTCCTGCACCTGCTGCTCATCCCAAGGAGCTGGCCTGGGGAGAGATGCCTGATTATTGATTAGGGCTTGACCCTATACCTCCCCCTCTCTGACTTAGAATCCAGGACGGGTGAGGAGAAGGCAGGTGTCTGCCCTTGGGGTTTTAATCTTGCTGGGATGAGAGGGCTGTGCGGGACACAGATGTTTTAAATGGTTTGCAGATAATGGAACTGGGAAGATAAGTGTATCTGGGGGCAAATGTTTTCTGAAATCCAGTATGTGTATTCCTATCACGACAACGAAGGGGTCTTTAAAAGTTCATGGAAAATGGGATACTGAAAAGTTATGTGTGAATTTTGCAAAAGTTTTCTTTTGCGGGGGGTGATACTAAAATACTTACCTTTTCATTCCATGTTTCCACAAGCACTTGCAAGTGTGCTTGTGTGAATTGCAAACGTATCAGGAGGAATTTGAGTTCCTTTTAAAAAAAAAATAGATAGTTGACTAGTTTGGTAAGGCTTAATGCAAGTTTGGCCCGTGCCATGCAGAGGGGGCAGGACTCAGGGTACAGGAAGCTGGGAAGATGCCTGGGATCAAGGAATGGCGTGGAGAGGCAGTACTGCAGGCACAGGATATCACAATAGCAGCAGGACACTGGGCTCAGCAGGGAGCTTATGTTCTGGAAACATCCCTCGGCCTGCAAACAGCAGCTTCTTTCCTACCCCTAGGTTCGCCCAGGCTCTTGCTGTCGGTTCTGGGCTGTAAGGAGAGGTGATGGCTCTTGACACCTGTGCAGACAGCATCCCATGCTTTCCTTACGTACCTATTGCCAGGACACTGGCAAGGGGCCTCGTCTCCATTCCAGAGTATTGCAACACATCTCACCTGCCCTGGAACCTTCAGTGGCTCCCCAGTTCCCATCAGCGCCCCCAGCACCGCTTCCCCCCCCCCCCAGTATCCTTCCCCATCCAGCTGATCCTGAACTGCCTACAAATGGGAAGAGATCTGAAAGCCATGAAAGCCAGGCTGAGCATTTAGTCTGTCTCACCACCGCCCAGCTTTGACATGCTGTTAAGATTATGTGATGTCTGGTATCAAGAGGGTAGGTGTGTGGCATGGTGGTTAAGATGCTGCTCAGATACTTACGTCTCATATCAGAGTGCCTAGGTTCGAGTCCTAGCTCCGTTTCACATCCAGCAACCTGCTCGTTCACATCCTGGGAGGCAGCCTAAGTACCTGAGTCCCCACTACTCTTAAGTGACCTGGATTTAAGTTCCAGGCCCCTGGCTATGGCTCAGCCAAGCCCTGGCTGTTAGGGGCAAAGTAAACCAACAGATGGAAGATCTTTCTTCTCTCTTCTTTGGTCTCTCTGCCTTTCAAATAAATTTTTTAAAATTAATCAAAAAAATTTTTTAAAGAAAAATTTCAGAAATAAGAGCTGGTGGTATAGAGGAGGGATCAGGGTTAGCCAACTACAGCTGCAGAATAGAATGAAACCTCCACCTGGGTTTAAAAATAAAACATTGCTGGGCATGCAGTTGCCCTCATTTATTTAAGCCTCTGCTTAGTATGCAGTGGGAGAGTTCACTAGTTTCCATGGAGACCATGTGGCCTGCAGTGCCTAAAATATGTGGGTAATTCAAAAATTCTATGGAAAAATAGAATTAAAAGTTTATCATTCAAATCTTGAAGGTCACATTGTTCCTTCATGAAAACGTACCTTGCGTGGACATTCTGGAGACCTCTCATCACCCATCGTCTGGCTGTTCGAAGGCAGCGTGTGCCAGCCAGCCCCTCACCCACGGAAAGTGTGCGTGGCCAAGTTCACACTGTTGATGCTCGGAACCATTGAGTCTGTACAGGGGATCTTCCTATTGGTTGACATTTTTCCATCATAAAAAAATGAAGGCATCCACTACCAAGCATTTGTTGAAGCCAGCTTTGTGGTACAGCAGGTTAAGCCACAGCCCACAGTGCCATGCCAGCATCCCATATGAGCACTGGATCAAGTCCCTGCTGCCCCACTTCCCATCCAGCTCCCTCTTAATGTACCTGGGAGAGCAGTGGAGGATGACCAAGTATTGAGGCTCCTGGTACCCATGTGGGAGACATGGTTGGAATTCCAGCTTCCTGCCTTCCAGTTGGGGAGTGAACCAATTAGATGATGTTCTCTTTCTCTCTGTCACTTTGCTTTTTCAAACGGTGGCTTTAAACATCACACACACACGCACCCTGGAAATAAACCAGTAGCCTGTAAGTGCAGGGATTCTTGTGTCAATCATGTCCACCCACGCCATCAGATAGCATGCTGTCTTTTTAAAGGATTAACTAGAGTTTTATAATGTGTTGGAAGAATATTCTGTGATATATCAAGTGAGAAAAACTGGTATGCGGAAATGTCTGTATCTGCCAATCCCGTGGAGCAGTGGCAAGATTAATCCCTTCCATGTGCATGCGTGTGTGTAGTATGAACAGGTTGTTAGCATGGGACAAGGGTACAATGACATCAGTGGAAGGGAAACGGCAAGCAGCTGTGTTTGATCAAGCAGCTGATGTATTAGGATCATGGGTGTGTGTGTTTGTGCATTCTGTGTGTGTGTGTGTATGTGTACACCTTACTGAATTAAGAGAGCTGTAACAGAATGACTGAGAAGGCATGCATATTTTTCACATCGTCGGATGTGAAGGGGGATTTGTGAGTGGGAAATTGGAATTGAAGAGCCACTGTGGCCAGCCCTACCCCTTCCATACCCCCCACCAAAGGCCCCCCAGGGAAAGGGTCCCAGAGAACAGAGACTGGGCCGCATGCCCTCGGCCCACAGCAACTCTCGCCCCAGGCAGCTCTTCCTCCTGCTTCCCCCGCCCTCCATGCCCAGGAATAATGTTTCCCTGGGCTGAAAAGCGCCCCTTTGTGCAGGCTTTAATTGCCGTGTTGTTGTGCCAAGTGAATGAGTGGCAGGCAGGCACAGCAGCTGGGCAAAAACACTGCCAGGCAGCCTGGGCCAGCTGCCCCTGCCCCCCAGCACTGCCCACCTCTGCCCCCAGCTGGGCACTGGCAGAGGCACACGTCCAGTTAGGGTCACTGCGGAGGTGTGGAGGGGGTTGCCAAGCCTGAGGTTCATTGGATGAGGGGAAGGGGGTGTGGGGTGGCCCCTTGGCTCAGAGACTCATTCATCTCTTCCTCCCGCCCCTCCCCCCACCTCTTGTTTTTCAGACCGTCAGCATCAATAAGGCCATTAACGCACAGGAAGTGGCGGTAAAGGAAAAACACGCCAGAAATATCCTTTCGTGTGCTGCTCAGAAAGCCGGCCCTGGGGGAGGTCACATCGTGGGTGGTAGGGGACACACGGAGACACAAAGGTCACAGCCAGGCTGCCTGGCTCAGCTGTAGAAAGTGGAACGCCCACCTACCTGGACCAGGTGTCTATGAGCAGCTTCCATTGACCGTGGCTTCCAAGACCAGGGCTGGCCAAACCCACTGGGGTATACTGTCCCCCATCCTTAACCCCAGGGGGCATGAGCTAGATCTCCCCGTTCTCTGAGTATAAATACAGAAGTCTCCACGCATGCCTTGGCAGGTGCTCCATGACCTGTGAGCAGGTGCAGCGTGCATCCCAGAGGAGAGGATGCAGATCTTGGACTGGATGAGGGAGGGCAAGAGTCACCAACTAGAAGGCCCATCTCTGGGTTCACCATGTGGTCCCAGAGCCTATGGAGTTTGAGGTGCAGGAAAAGGAAGGTGCACCCTGACAAGGCCAGGATGTACACAGGAAACTGGTGGGTGCCCAAGTCACCTAGGTTTTGTTTGTTTGTTTATTTTTAATTGCAAAATTGGATATATACAGAGAGGAGGAAAGATGGAGAGGAAGATCTTCCGTCCAATGATTCACTCTCCAAGTGACCACAATGGCCGGAGCTGCACCAATCCAAAGCCAGGAGCTCTTCTGGGTCTCCCACAGAGTCCCAAAGCGTTGTGCTGTCCTTGACTGCTTTCCCAAGCCATAAGTAGGGAGCTGGATGGGAAGTGGGGCTGCCGGGATTAGAACTGGTGCCCCATGGGACTTTAGACCACCGCGCTGGGCCGTCACCTAGGGTTTATGGAAAGGACTTTGGAGCCCGAGGTTGCTGCTGTCACAGCAACAGCATCAGGGCTGGAGAGCTGGAGGCAGACCAGCACTGTGGCTCAGTAGGTTAAAGTGCTACCTTCAACTCCAGCCTCCAGTGAAGGCGCCAGTTTGAATCCCAGCTGCTCTGTTTCTAGTCCAGCTTTCTGCTGCTGTGCCCAAGTGTTGGGGCCCCATGCCACCTGCATGGGAAACCCAGATAAAGCGCCAAGCTCCTGGCCTAGTCCTGGATGTTGCGGCCACTGCCTTTCAAAGACATGAAATAAATCTTTAATAAAAGAAAGTGTTCCCTAAGAGAGGAAACCAGAGAGTCAACATGTTGGCTTTTGGGGTCCCCAGGCTGAAGCAGCCCTCCCATGTTTAATAACAGACAGTCCTGCTTCCCATCCAGCTCCCTGCTTGTGACCTGGGAAAGCACTTGAGGATGGCCCAAAGCCTTGAGACCCTGCACCCGTGTGGGAGACCCAGTAGAAGCTCTGGGCTCCTACCTTTGGATTGGCTCAGTTCCAGCCATTGCAGCCACCTGGGAATTGAACCAGCAGACGGAAGATACTCCTCTCTGTCTCTCCTCCTTTGTCTCTCTATATATTTGGCTTTCTAATAAAAATAAATAAATCTTAAAAAAAAAAAAGCTGCAGGACCTGCCCATGCAGCATGTGCAGGCGCACACACACACACACACACACACACACACACACACACACACACACTCTCTGAAGAAGCTGCAGAGGCTGTGCCATCCCCAGGGAAATGGGCCAGTTAAGGAGGTTTTATTAGATTGTGGCACTGCATTGCCGTCTGCTCCCCGACACCCCGTAGCATTTGCCAGAACAAAGGCTGGACTCTTGGTTTTCTTAGCTGCAAATGATGGGTGGCCAGCTGTGGGCTGCCCCAGTGCAGACTGGGAGGCGGGCCCAGGGATCCCTGTTTTCCTTGACTCCCTGCTTACCATGCATCCTGGGGACCCACCACGAGAAGGGGGCACAGGCCTTCTGGTCTGTCGTGAACCGCCTGCCACTGTCCAGCAACGCCGTGCTGTGCTGGAAGTTCTGCCATGTATTCCACAAACTCCTACGGGACGGGCACCCACACGTGAGTTCCACCCTGGCCCCAGTGGCTGCTGGCCATCCCCCACCTGTCCTCCTGACCTCTTTGCTCCTAGTAAGAGACTGACACCCCACAACACACCCACACCCCACCACCACTACCACCACCCGCCAAGCTCAGCTGACGTGTGGCCCTACCAGTTACTCTGTCCATCCGCAGGTCCTCAAGGACTCCCTGAGATACAAGAATGAGCTGAGTGACATGAGCAGGATGTGGGTGAGTTTGGGCTCCTCCCTATACCCCACCACCACCAGAGATCGAGCATCCCAGAGAGGCTAAAGATACTACCCCACACACCAGCCCCCAGCCACCATGGGATGACATCCACTACCCTGCCTTCCTCGGTCCCCCAGGAGCCACGGGACAGTCCAAGGCCGTAGAGGCTTCTGTGTGGAGCCAACCTCATGCTGGGGCACTGGGGTCCCTCACAAGGAATGGCCTCCATCTCCATTTCACCCCTCCTCCAGGCAGCTCTGGGATTGCCCTAAGAATGAACGTTTCCAGTTCTTGGAGAAAAAAATAATTTTATTCATCCTTTTTCATATATTTCCTGATTATCTTATTTTTATGAAAGGCTGTCACCAGAGGGAGAAACATCTGTTGGTGCACACCCCAAACAGCCATGGTTTGGGTCTTCCCATGTGAGTGCAGGGGCCCACACACTTGTCATCCTATGATGACTTTCCCTGGTGCACCAGCAGGAAGCTAGATTAGGAGCGAAGCAGCTAAGACTCAAGCCGCCTGTCTGATCTAATGGGATACCAGTGTCTTGTACTGCAGTGCCAGCCTCATGTCTTTAGTTCTTAATGCCAGTGCCTTTTCTTCCCTGGCTAGGGATGCCCTCTGCCTTAGGGAGAGATGAGAAATGGAGAGCAACACCCAAGTCCCAAAAAAGGGTGTCTGCAAACCTTTCTAGATTCCCATGGCCATGATATGGGTCGGGGAATCTGCGTTTTGAAGACTCTGCTCAGGTGGAGTCTGATAGGCCCTTTTTGCCTCCAGCAGTTGGGAACCACTACGTGAGCCTACTTCCTGGAACTCTCACCTTATTCTGTCCTCACAGATCAGTAGCAATGCTGTGGTCCCTTCTGCCTGCCTCAGGTGAGGCAGTGCCTGCTCACTGGGAGACAGGCAGCTCGTCCTCAGGGTGTGGGCAAAGCTGGAAAAACCTCCCAGCTGCACCCCAGGAAGCTTTCTCTGTGATTGCTGAAGGGGTTTGTCCCTTTTGGCAGCCATCACCTGTTTGTAGGGTACCACATGTGAAGCAGCCACCCGTGATACCAGCATCCCATAGGACAGCTGGTTCTAGTCCTAGCTGCTCCATTTCTGTTCCCACTGGGAAAGCAGTAGAGGAAATTGGTCCAAGTGCCTGAGTACCTGCCACCCACGAAGGAGGCTTGGATGGAGTTCCTGGCTCCTGGCTTCCACTTGGCCCAGCCCCGGCCATGGTAGCCTTTTGGGGAGTGAACTGGCAGGTGGAAGCTTGCTCGCACACTCTGCCTTTCTGTCTCTGATTCTCTCTGCAACTCTGCCTTTCAAAGGTATAGATCTCTCTTTTTTTAATGACCTGTTACAGCTTTCTCTTTTAACTTTTCTGTATTTTCCTGGAAATGTATCTTTTTATTTTCTTTACGTGAGTATTTTGAAGTTTACTTTTTGTTTATTTGAAAGCAGAATTAGTTCTGCCTTTCTGTGCCACTACCTTTCAAAAACATTTTTAGAGTAAAAATAAAGATGGAGCAGTGTGGATTTTTGGGCCAGTGCAGCTATCCCATGTGATACGATAGTTACGTGTTTGTCAAAACCTGCAGAATGTGCACCACCAGTAACGACCGCTGCTGGGCACTGTGGGTGTTGATGTGTGGCATCAGCTTAGGCACAGCAGGTATAACAGGTATACCACCAAGGTACAGGGTGTTGGGAGTACAGGAGAGTTAGTGTTTGAGATTCTTTGTCCTTCAGTTTTGCTGTGACCATAAAACTGCTCTTTAAAAATAACCCAGCAGGGATGACATTGTGGCATAGCAAGCTATGAGTCCACCTGCGGCACCAGTATCCCCTGTGGGTGTTGGTTCAATCCTTCACCTGCTCCACTTCCCACCCAGCTCCCTGCATACGGCCTGGGAAAGCAGTAGAGAATGGCTCAAGTCTTTGGGCACCTGCACCCACGTGAGTGACTAGAATAAGCCCCTGGCTCCTGACTTCAGCCTGGCTCGTGGCCATTTGGGTAGTAAACTCACAGGTCTTGTTCTGTTTCTTCTCTCTTTTTTATCATACTGCTTTATAACACTAGGGAAAAAATAACTTTTTAAGAAAATCTATTTAAAGACTTATTTATTTATTGGAAAGTCAGATATACAGAGAGGAGAGACAGAGAGGAAGATCTTCCATCCGATGATTCACTCCCCAAGTGAGCGCAACGGCCGATGCTGTGCTGATCCGAAGCCAGGAGCCAGAAACTTCTTTCGGGCATCCCACACGGGTGCAGGGTCCCAAAGCTTTAGGCTGTCCTTGACTGCTTTCCCAGGCTACAAGCAGGGAGCTGGATGGGAAGTAGAGCTGCCATGATTAGAACCAGTGCCCATATGGGATCCCAGGGCGTTCAAGGCGAGGACTTTAGCCGTTAGGCCACGGCGCCGTACCCCCAGAAGAGATTTCTTATGGGAGGAGTGGTGGCAGCAGGTACCACCCGGGCTGGCATTGGTGCTGACTCTCTCTCTTCCCCTCCCCCCCTTCCTGTAAGGGCCACCTGAGTGAGGGCTACGGACAGCTGTGCAGCGTCTACCTCAAACTGCTGAGAACCAAGATGGAGTTTCACACCAAAGTGAGTCTTGCCCATCAGGGTTGATCTGCAGGCTTCCTAAGAAAGATAGTCCACCCACGGCTTCCCGCTTTCCCGCCCAGTGACAGTCACCTGCTAGGGGGAGCTTAGGACAATGCCACCCATCGGGCCCTGCCTGCAGAGCCTCACACTGGAAAGTGGGCTCTGGGGCTGTGCATTTCCAGCAGGTGCTCCTGAGCGGGGTGTATACTGCTACAACTGGTGCCAGGATCCCACCTGGAGACCGGCTGCTGTCGGTGCAAGCTACAGCAAAAACAAGGGGCTCCTGGGCCACCTCCTATGGCAGGTTCCTTCTGCTTGTACACAAAGCAGAGGATGGAGAGTTAATGACTCCCAGCCCCGGGGTGCAGTAGTCTCCTGTTACTGAGTTTTTGGTGCTGATGTGAGAATGGATTGGCCCTCTTGAATCCACAGTAGTGGCTTTAGGTAGTGATGAGGTAGTGATGGGACAGCAGAGAGCCCCAAGCTGGCTATCTCCCCGCATCGCCCCCCACAGGTCCCATTGTACCAGGGGAGAACAGCTATGGAACATTCCAGGGATGAAGCAGAGCCTTCAAATTAGGGGACAGGCATCAGGGGGTCGTTCCTATGGCCCACTCAAGGGTCTGCAGTGTGTGAGGTCTGGGGGCCTGCTCCTAGGAGTAGAAGCTGCCCAAGCAAATCCAGCTCGAAGTGGCCCAGGGCCCCAAGCAGGCAGCATACTTGCTGTTGACTTAGCTGAACTCTTAAGAAAAATGCATCGTTTCTCTACCTCCCTTCCAGAATCCCAGGTTCCCAGGCAACCTTCAGATGAGTGATCGGCAGCTGGACGAGGCTGGAGAAAGTGACGTGAACAACTTGTGAGCGAACTGGCCCCTGTGCTCCAGGCAGGGTGGGGAGGAAATGCTTGCTGGGAAGGCGAGGGCCGAGGTGGGGACTGCTCTACAACCTCTGAAGGGCTGGCCCAGGAGCCACCTCATGCTGGGCCTCATCGAGACCCTTGGCCAGCTGTCCCATGCCCATGGCTACCCTCAGTCTCCCTCCCAGGGCTTGGCTTTCTCCTGCCACTCAGGATGCTTCGTCTTGGCCTTCAGATATGCATTTGGGGTGGGGGCTGGCGCCCATGCATGTGTGAGTGTGACTGTGCATTTAGACACACACGTATGCACATGTGTGTGCATGGGGAGGAATCCGCAGTTTGGCGCGTGGGCAGGGACAAGTGAGCAGCCAACCGTGGACTGTGATGTGTAAGCTGTCTCCTCTTGGATGCAGTTTCCAGTTAACAGTGGAGATGTTTGACTACCTGGAGTGTGAACTCAACCTCTTTCAAACCGGTGAGTGGCTTCCCTCCCTTCTCACCAGGCTCTCAGGTCAGTCCCCAGGGCGATTCACATTTGGTCCAGCCCTCCCCTGCCTACACACTGGGTGGCACAAGGGGCTGGGAGATGTCCGTGCCCTGGTTTGGCCCTTTCAGCTACCACCTTGAGGGAGTGGCTGGAGCTCTTGGGTATTTTTGGTGGTCCCTGCTGACCCCCAGCCAGGCTTTTGGCACATCCCCTTCGCTGGGGAAAGGCCGGTGGTAGACTTGATTGGCTCCCAAGTCCACATGAGTAGCCCATGAAATCCTGCTGCACTGTCCAGGTTGGCTTCCCATGCCAGGCTCCCCTCTCCTGGGAGTTAAAGAGCATCCCCTCTCCTCTACCGGACCCTCTGATAAGCCCCCAGCTTCCTCTCCCTCTGCCTCCCCACACCCTCCCTGAGGGGCCATGTGAGAAGCAGCTTTCTTACCATTAGGCCTGGGGAGTGAGTGCTCACAGGATGGGTTCACACACAAGCTCTTGGCTTCTCAGCACTGGGCTATGCAGGGTCTGGCCTTGGGGCGGCGACCTTGACCTTGACTGCAGCCTCTTTTGCTGTGTTCATTTGTGCAGCCTGTTCTGGTCCAACCCCCAGACAAGGCATGTTCTGGAGTGACAAGTTCATTGCTTACTGCTTTGAGCGAACAGTTGAGCATGGGGTCTGTTAGAGAAATAGGTGCCAGTATGTTAGCATCCTGTGTCGGTGTGCTGGACCAGCCACTCCCTCTTCAGGACCATCATTCCCTGTGGATTGGAGGTCTCTCAAGAGGCTGTGCTCGCCCAGGTCAGGGGAGCCTTGGCCAGGGCTTGCCTGTCCCTGCCCAGCCTCTCTGCCTCTCTCCTCAGTGTTCAACTCCTTGGACATGTCGCGCTCCGTGTCCGTGACAACAGCCGGGCAGTGCCGCCTTGCGCCACTCATCCAGGTCATCCTGGACTGCAGCCACCTCTACGACTACACGGTCAAGCTGCTCTTCAAGCTCCACTCCTGTGAGTGTGAGGGGCCGGACACGGTGTGTGTAAGGGGGACCCCTCATCCGTGAGCCTCGCAGGCCAATTGGGTGCTCTGGAAAGGCACAGGCCTGCTCATGCGCTTGACTTTCTGCTTCTGTTGCAAAAGACCCCGGGGAGGGTCTGGGGTGAGAATGTAGGAGACGAGGGGCCTCACTTGCACATGCCCAGTTAGACACCTGGCTTGTCCTGGCTAGGTGCCAGGCTGTCCCTGTCCGCCCACAGCTGGCTGTAGCTAGCCACCATTCATTGCAGGTTTCCCAAACCACACAGAGAACACCCCCATGTCAGCTCACACAGTTTTCCAGACCATCTTTCAACACAGACCCTTTGTACACATGGGATTTTATAAAGATTTATTTATTTTTATTGCAAAGTCAGATATACAGAGAGGAAGATCTTCCGTCCACTGATTTACTCCCCAAGTGACTGCAACGGCCAGTGCTGCGCCGATCCAAAATCAGGAGCCAGGAACTTCCACCAGGTCTCCCACGTGTGTGCAGGGTCCCAAGGCTTGGACTGTCCTTGGCTGCTTTCCCAGGCCACAAGCAGGGAGCTGGGTGGGAAACGGAGCTGCCAGTGTGAGAACTGGCACCCATATGGGATCCTGGTGCTTTCAAGGTGAGGAGTTTAGCTGCTAGGCCACCACGCCAGGCCCCAGATGGGATTTTTTAAAGATTTATTTTATTTTTATTACAAAGTCAGATACAGAGAGGAGGAGAGATAGAGAGGAAGATCTTCCGTCTGATAATTCACTCCCCAAGTGAGCGCAACAGGCCGGTGCTGCGCCAATCAGGTGCACTGGCCATGGACATACTTGTGTCTTAAGATACCAAGGTCAACAGCACCTGCCACTTAGAGTTAGGACAAGAGGCAGGTAATTGTGTGCCTGGGTTTAAAGGTGAGAACAAGCAGCCACTCATTGGAAAGGCAGAGCGATGGAGAGGAAGGGAGGGAGAGAGAGAGATCTTCCATCAGCTGGTTCACTTCCCCCTAAGTGCCCACAGTAGCCTGGGTTAAGATCAGGCCAAAACCAGGAACTCGGAACTCCGTCTGGGTCTCCCGGTGGATGGCAGGGACTCAGGCGCCTGGGCCATTCTCCACTGCCTTCCCAGGAGCCTTAATAGGGAGCTGCATGGAAAGTGGAATAACTGACACCTAATCCAAGTATGGGATCCCAAAAAGCATCTTAATCTTCTGCACCACAATGCTGCCCCCTTCCCCACAACAAAAACCAGGAGAGGAAATGGAAGGTTCTGGAAATATTAGGACTCCCACCCTTCTGTTGGGTGCAGCTCAGTGATTACCAGGTCTTAAAGGACAAGTGTAGGCCAACAAGGACCCCTAGTAGGCTGGCCACAGGCCTCAGGAAATCTGGTCTCCTCCCCTCCAGTGGCTTCCTGTTGTACGCCTGCCCCTCTGGTCTGCCCCCTGGCTCACTTTATTTCCCCTGTTTCCTTCCAGGTCTCCCAGCTGACACCCTTCAGGGCCACCGGGACCGCTTCATGGAGCAGTTCACAAAGTAAGTGGCTCACGTGACAGAAGGGGTGCCCCACTACCCTTCAAGGGTTCACCAGAATCTCCGGACATCCACTATTGCCCCCTACAGGCCCCTGCAGATACTGCAACCTTGTACAACACACCCATTGCTCAAAATCTTTTTAAGTTTCCATAGACTCCAGAGGCAGAGAAACAGACAGATGAGAGCTCCCCTCTTTCCACTGCCTCTTTCCCCAACTGCCCAAGACAGCCAGGGCTGGGCTGAAGGTAACACCCTGAGCCAGGAATTCATGGTACTGAGACCCAGCTACCTACCGCCTCCCAAGGCTTACATGAACAGGGAGCAGGAGTCAGGATTTGGATCCAGTGACCCTGGTGTGGGCTGCCAATGTCCCAGCTGATGACCAGTCACCCCAGCTTGGAAGACGCTCAGGATTAAATCTAAGCTCTTTTCTGGGGTCTTTAAGGCCCTAAGTGCCCCTGGCTGGCCCACTATCTCCAGCCTCACCACCATCACTGACGGGTCGTCTCTGGGGCCTGCATTGCACCCACCGCCTTCCTCCATCAGGCCCCTAACACTTGCTCTTCCCTCTCCTTTGGATACTGTTCCAGCGCAGCCAGCTCCAGCTCATCTTTCTGCGTCAGAAATTCAGACTCAGCCCCACATGAAGCCAAGCCTTTTTTCTCCACTTCCTGTTCCTCCTGCCCGCATCCCAACCCCGAAATTTTTTCCCCCAAAATTTATTTCAAAGATAGAGCTACAGAAAACGAGAGAGAGAGAGAGAGAGAGAGAGAGAGAGAGACATCTTCCATCCCACTGGTTCACTTCCCAAACGTCTACAACAGTCTGAGCCAGGTCAAAGCTAAGAGCCCGCAACTGCATCCGGGCTTCCCATGTGGGTCATCCTCCACTGCTCTCCCCAGTGCCTTAACACGGAGCTGGATCCTACGCAGAGCAGCCAGGACTTGAACTGGTGTGCACCAATGTGGGTTACCAGTGTCGCCAAGTGGTGACTTAACCTGCTTCACCACCACCCCCCACCCTGAAACCTTGATCCCAGCACCCCATTTGTTTCATTCAGAGTTCTGAGCACCCATTCCTTCCAGTCTTATCTTGTCCATTATGAGACCTTTCCGAGTGCCTCAGCTGCGACAGCGTGTAGGGAAGGAAGGCTTGTACCTAGGGACCTGGGAAAATTCTGATTGGCCCAAAGAAGTCAGCTGTCTGCTGGCAGGAGAGGAGGAGAAGCCTGCGTGGCTGAGAAGAAAAATGTTCTGGAACATTTCCCAGGACCAAGGCCAGGGGGATGCTGACCTCCCCATTGCCTAGTTCTGCTTGTGCAGCCCAAGGGCGATCCTGCGATCAATGGGCCATGAAATCTGAGGAGACAGGCCCTGGGGCAAGTTTCCTGGAATGTTAAATTGCAGTTGGCTTTCTGTTGTGGTGGAGCCTGGTGCCCTTGGCACAGGCCCAGAGGAGAATGCACAGTCAGCTGATTGTATTTCCTTCCGGGTTTGGGGTTCTCTTCTTGCTTATAAAAACATTTCCATGCATAAGTAGCTTGCCTTGCCTGCTCTTCCGTGCAGATCCAGCTGTCCTCCCACCCCCAGACCCCATCCTCTGCTCAGAGTCAGGCAATGTGGCCCCGTTGTTGCAGCCACAGACCTGAGCCTCGGGGATTTATTTGGCTTGTTGAGCAAAACTTGTGCGGAAAATCCTGCCCTTCCACGAGGTGATGTAAAATTGCGGAGTGCTCTCCCTTCTCTAGTATGCATAGCGGCTGCAGGAAGTTTGTGAACAGCGAGATTTAAGGGATGGATGGATTTGGACCAGGCTTTGTGGCTGAGCAGGTTAAACCACTGCTCGTGAAACCGGCATCTCATCATGCAGCGCTGGTTTGAACTCCACCTCCACTGCAGCTCCCTGCTTGTGGTCTGGGAAAGCAGCAGAGCATGGCCCAACCAGCAGAGTCCCTGCCTCCCACCCACGTGAGCCACCAGGATATAAAGCTCTGGGCTCCTGGCTAGCTCCTGGGGCCACTTGAGAAGGAAGCCAGCAAATCTTTCTTCCCTTTCTCTTTATTTTAAATAAATAAATTTATTTTTCAAAAAGATAATTAATTTTGGTACCAAAAAAAAAAATTTTGCAATCCATGCATTTGAAGGGGTCTTTGGAAAGTTCATGCAAGGGCCAGCATCAGGCATAGTAGGCTAAGCCTCCACCTGTTGCACCGGGATCCTATATGGACATCAGTTCGTGTCTTAGCTGCTCCACTTCCCTTCCCTCTCCCTACTTGTGGCCTGGGAAAATAGTCGAGGACGGCCCAAAGCCTTGGGACCCTGCACCCACATAGAGACCCAGAAGAAGTTCCTGGTTCCTGGCTTTGGATCAGCGCAGCTCCAGTTGTTGAAGCCAGTTGAGGAGTAAATCAGTAGACAGAAGAGCTTCCTCTCTGTCTCTCCTCCTGTCTATAGATCCCAACTTTCTAATAAAAATTTAAAAATAAATCTTTTAGGGCCTGACGCAGTGGCTTAGTGGCTAAAGTCCTCACCTTGAACACACCAGAATCCCATATGGGTGCCGGTTCTAATCCCAACTACCCCACTTCCCATTCAGCTCCCTGCTTGTGGCCTGGGAAAGCAGTTGAGGATGGGCCCAAAGCCTTGGGACCCTGCACCCGTGTGGGAGACCCAGAAGAAATTCCTAGCTCCTAACTTCAAATCAGTTCAGCTCCAGCTGTTGCGCTCACTTAGGGAGTGAATCATTGGGCAGAAGATCTTCCTTTCTGTCTCTCCTCCTCTCTGTATATCTGGCTTTGCAATTAAAAAAAAGACAAAAAAAAAAAAAAAACAAAGAGGAAAGAGAGAGATCTTCCATCCTCTGATTCACTGTCCCAGTGGCTTTAAAGATTTCTTCAGTTTTCTGTTTGCAGAAAGAGGACCGACATAAAGAACCTCCATCCACTGCTTCACTCTGCAAATGGCCACAGCGGCCAGATCTGAGACAGTCTGAAGCCAGGAGCCTGGAACTGCTTCTGGGTCTCCCACAGGGATGCCAGGGCCACAGGACATGGGCTGTCCTCTGCTGCTTTCCCAGGCGCGTTAGCAGGGAACTGAACGGGAAGTGGAGCAGCTGAGACTACTAACATCAGCTCCCTTATGAGATGTTGGCACCACAGGCAGAGGTTCAGGCTACTGTGCCACAGTGTCGGGCACCCTCTATGAACATTTTGAAGAGCCCTTGTGTAATCTGAATATTATCACCGTTCTTGATCTTCCGGGTTTCAGTTCAAAGTTAAGATTCAGGGAATGAGGAAAGAAAGCATTAGTTCCTTCTTGCTTATGTTCATACAAGAGAAGGGTACAGTGTAGATTCTTAGTCTCCAGCAGATACTGGGTATCCCTGTGTGCCTGGTCTGATGGTACCTGAAGCTTGGCAAGACTCAGTCCCTGCCTTCCAGAAGCTTCCAGTCTGTTTCAATAAATCTGAAGCAGCAGGTTCATTTTTTTTCTCCCCAGTTGATCATATCGGATGGCCCACAAATGGTGTTATTTACCTAAACAGCCCTTGACTGAAAGGGGGCAAAAAAAAAGGTTGCCACAGAAAGATGAATCTCCCAATAACATCGTTATCCAGTGATGGGGAATTAGCGGATCTTCCTCGCCACCAGATACACTGGGCACTTGGCTTTGAGCCACACTTGTCTGCAGCATCACAATGGAGTCTCCAGTGCCACAGCAGGGTTGGGCAGCCATCTCCTTGACAACCTGAACCTTTGGGCCACCCCCTGGATAGGGGGTGGGAAGCAGGTGGTGGGCTGCTCTGTCCCCACTGTGGGGCTGGTACCACCTCGCGGCCCTCAGACTCTGCTCCCATCCCACCACCACCACCACCCGTAGGTTGAAAGACCTCTTCTACCGCTCCAGCAATCTGCAGTACTTCAAGAGGCTCATTCAGATCCCGCAGCTGCCCGAGGTAAGAAGCCCCATGGGCACCATGCCCCACGCACACAGGTGTCCCCAGTAACCATGTAAGGATATGGGCCCTCTGCTCTCCCCCAGAACCCACCCAATTTCCTACGCGCCTCGGCCCTGTCGGAACACATCAGTCCCGTGGTGGTCATCCCTGCCGAGGCCTCATCCCCCGACAGCGAGCCTGTGTTGGAGAAGGACGACCTCATGGACATGGATGCCTCCCAACAGGTGAGGCTCACAGCAGGGCTTGGGAAGAAGAGCCCAGTTCTCCTCCCCTGCTACAGAGGAGAGCATGGAAGAGGCCAGGCCCGGGCATCCTGGCTCTAAGCAGTTCCGTCTTCCTCTTAACAAAGCACCAGCCTGGACCCAGGACCCTGCCCCATGCTTCCTGCCCCATGCGCGCACACACACACACACACACACACACACACGGGACTGAGCCAGGTCAAGATGAAGAGGGGGGCAGCCTTTCTCACCTGTCAGTCCCCTGCACCCTCTTGTAGTGTTCCCTGCACTCCTTCACGTGTTACTTCCTTCCCCCACCCCCACCCCGACCCTTGCAGAATTTATTTGACAACAAGTTCGATGACATCTTCGGCAGCTCGTTCAGCAGTGGGCCCTTCAATTTCAACAGTCAGAACGGCGTGAGCAAGGATGACAGGTGAGTCCCGACTGAGGGCTGCTGTGCTCCACCCCACAGTGCAGGAATGAGTGTGTTCATCTTCATCTTACATTTGAAATGTAGAAAGGCGGTGAGGTCGTCCAGGCTGCAGCCTAACACCTGCTGACCCCATGGGGTATGCGAAGGCAGGAAGCTGAAGTCAGAAATGAAGCCAGGACTGGGACCAGGCATTAGATGTGGGGAGAGGGTGTGGGCGGGTATTGCCACTTAACTGCTGTGCCAAATGCTCAGCCCCCACAGGCATTCTGGATGATGCTTGGGCTTCTTAGATAAAGCCATGTCTGGCCTCTTATATCCCAGACAGGAAGTAGTAGCTGCTTCAAGATTTAGTGCCTGAGAACACTTAGGGTACAGTCACTGCAGGACCCCAGAGTCAACTCATATACACTCTTCTGGCTACTTTAAATTGTGTCTAGATCTTTTTTTTTTTTTTAAGATTTTTTTTTTTTAATTTGAAAGATTCTCCATCCACTGCTTCCCTCCCAAAATAGCTGCAACACAATGTCCAGAGCTGAACTGACCAAAGCCAGGGGCCTCTTTGGGGTCTCCCACACAGCCTCTTTGGGGTCTAGGACTTGAGCTACCCTCCATTGCCCTCCCAGGCCATAAACGGGGAGCTGGATCAGAAATGGAACAACTGGGACATGAACTGGTGCCCACATGGGATGTCTGTGCTTGCAGGCAAAAGAGTAGCCAAGTGAGCAAACACGCCAGCCCCTGGCTCACTACTGATACCACGTGCATAGCTGTTTGGCCATATTGTTTGGGAAATGATGAGAAATTGGCCTGCACGTGTTCAATAGGATAGAAACTTTTTTTTTTTTTTTTGAGTATTTTGACCCACAGTTGGGTGAATCCGTGATGTGGATCCCCTGGGGGATCGAGTGTCTGCTCTTAGCCTCAGTTCTCCCCCTTTCCTGTCCTGCCCGCCACCCAGGTGTTCACTTCCTCCCACGGGGGTCCCAGAGGTTACCCATGGCTCATTAACTTGCTCAGCTTCTCTTCACAGGGACCACTTGATCGAGCGGCTCTACCGAGAGATCAGCGGGCTCAAGGCCCAGCTGGAAAACACAAAGGCAGAGGTACGCCTCAGCACTCACTTCCCTGACACAGGATGGGGATGTCGGATTGCCTTCACGGCCGAAGGCAGGTTAATGAATAGGAATGCCAATGCCAGAAGAAGCTGATCACAGCAGCCAGGGATGGACTGAGCTGAAGCCAGGAGCCAGGAGCTTCTTTACACCCTCCATGATCACAGGGGGCCCAAACACTTGGACCGTCTTTCACTGTGGTCCCAGGCCAGGAGCGTTAGCAGGGAGCTAGATCAGAAGTGGAGCAGCTGGTACTCGAACCAACACCTGTATGGGATGCTAGTGATTTAGCAGCAGCTTTACTGGCTGTGCCACAGCACCGACCCCTATAATGAGTTTATATGGCATCTACCTCCCCCAAGCAGCTCAGCCAGACTCCAGCAAGGGTCACTGCTAGTTTGGGGTCACGGTGAGAGAGGCCACTTCTGACACGGCCCTGAGAAGAATGGCTCCTGGCCCTGGTGGTAGTAGCTGGGGCCATACCCAGGACCACACAGTCCTTAGTGCCATGGCTCACCAGAGGCCCACAGTTCAGGCACCCCTCATGGCCTCCCGTGCTTCCTGCAGCCCAGCCATTGCCTACCCCCATCCTGGCCACTGGAACTGGAACCAGGCTCTTCCTGCGCTGCTCCTCTGTTATGGCCAGAAAGCAAGGCTCAGCTGTCATGAGGTGCTGATAGCTGGCATGCTGGGGACAGTAAGAGACCTCCCCAGGCTGTGCTGGACACCTGTGTGTATCCCCCACCTGCAGAGCCAGCGGGCCCTGCTGCAGCTGAAGGGCCGTGTCAGCGAGCTAGAGGCCGAGCTGGCCGAGCAGCGGCACCTGCGGCGGCAGGCAGCCGACGACAGCGAGTTCCTCCGGGCCGAGCTGGACGAGCTCAAGAAGCAGCGTGAGGACACGGAGAAAGCCCAGCGCAGCCTGACAGAGATTGAAAGTGAGAGGCTTCCCAGGGCGGCGGCCATGGGGGCGGGCACAAAGCCCTGCGGGGCCAAGGGAGCACCTTCCCAGGCGCATTAGCAGGAAGCTTGATAAGAAGCAAGCAGAGTAGGCAGGGTACCAACTGGTGCACTTATATGGGATGATGGCTCTGGCAGCAGCAGCTTAACTAGCTTTGCCGCCATGCCAGCTCCTAAGTGGGGTTTCTGATTGAGAAGATCTGTGCAATTGTGGGAAGGGAGGGAGGGAGGGAAGAAGGGACGAACAAATAAACAAAAATCTTCTGGAGCCCCTGGCATGGTGGAGGGGTTGGCAGGGGGTCCTAGTCAGGGTGTACCCCCTCACCTTGACCCTTGACCATGCAGGGAAGGCCCAGGCCAATGAGCAGCGATACAGCAAGCTCAAGGAGAAGTACAGCGAGCTGGTTCAGAATCATGCTGACCTGCTGCGTAAGGTAGGACCCCAGACCCTCAACCCCACATCACCACAGCAGTGGCAGCCCCGGCCTCCGAGGGTTGCCTCCATTTTTTTAGGAACCCCTGCTTTTCCAGATTCTTCCTGTGGCACCCCTTCCCCTCTAGCTTGAGTTCCATTGCAGATCATCCCCCCCATCCTTACTGTTTCATTGTATGTATTTTGGAGATTTACTTATTTATTGGAAAGTTACAGTGCAAAAGGGAAAAGAGATCTTCCGTTCACTCGTTTACTTCACAAATGGCTACGGTGGCCAGGGCTGGGCCAGGCCAAAGCCAGGAGGTTAGATCTTCCTCTGGGTTTCCCTCATGGGTACAGAGAGCTAAGCACTTGGGCTGTATTCTGCCGCTTTCCCAAGTGCATGAGCAGGGAGCTAGATGGAAAGTGGAGCAACCGGGACTTGAACCTGTACCGTGTGATGCTAGCGTCATAATAGGTCAGTTTAACTCTCTGCCACATTGTCAGTCCCTGTCCCTAGAATTTTCCTAACAGACTCCCAGACTCAAGAATCACAATTTTGGCACGTGATCCCAGCTTTCTTCTAAGAATGAAAGTGATTCCTGTGTGTGACTCCGGGGGGCATACACGCAGGCTGCCTGTTCGAGAAGCAACGTATCCTTTACGTCAGAGAGAATCCCATCCTAGATACTGCTGTCTTCTTCCAGAATGCAGAGGTGACCAAACAGGTGTCTGTGGCCAGACAAGCACAGGTGGATCTGGAACGAGAGAAGAAGGAACTGGAGGATTCCTTTGAGCGCGTCAGTGACCAGACCCAGCAGAAGGTGAGTGGCAGGAGAAACCCATCGAGGGGAGTTACCCACTGGAAGCAGTTCACAGGCACTGCCTGGCACAAAGACCTCTGTCGCCTCCTCCGGCACAGGCCAAAAGAGTACCTGGAACCCAGCAGCAGGTGCACACGCGAGTTAGGGGTCAGGAAGGCATGAGGGGAACCATGGGTGAAGTGAGTGTCAAGGGGAGCTGAAGCAGAAGAATAAAACACATGGACAGCAACGGAAGGGTTGTGTGACCTATAGACGTGTGGCCAGTAGGGACGGGGCAGGGTGGAGGCTGGGCGAGGACACCGCGAAAGCCGTACACTCGGCAGAGCACCTGTCGCACTTGTCTCTGATCCAGAATCAAACGTACATCTGTCACCAGATGGGCATGGCTTAGCTGCAGGGTAAGCTGCATCCCACACCAGGCACTGGTTCAAGTCCTGGCTCCTCCACTTCCAATCCTGGCAGTTCATCCTGAGATGCAGCAAGAGAGGGTGGTTCAAGTGTTTTGACCCCATCTAGGATGCTCCAGTGGAGTTTCAGGCTCCTGGCTTTTGTGAATGTTTGGGGGATGAACCAGTTGATGGAGGATCACTTCCCTAATGGTCACAATGTCCAGAACTAAGCCATTCTGAAGCCAGGAACTTCTCCCACTGTGGCTGCAGGAGCCCGAGGCCCTGGGCCATCCTCCACTGCTCTCCCAGGCCACAAGCAGGGAGCTGGATGGGAAGTGGAACAGCCAGGACACAAACCGGCCCCATGCTCAAGGGGACTTTTTGCACCTGTTTTTCGCATGCCTGTGACACTGGCCTCCCACTTTTCTTCCTTCAGACGCAAGAGCAACAGGAACTTCTGGAGAACTTGAAGCAGGAACTCACCACCAGCAAGCAAGAGCTGCAAGTCCTCCAAGGCAGCCTAGAGGCTGCAGCCCAGGTGAGCAGCTACACTTCCCCCAGCTGGGATCACACCTCCCTAGTGGGGAAGGTCAGGGAGACAGCACCTGCTCCTGGCCTCTGCAAGCCGGGCGTGGGGTTTGGAGCTCTAGGGAGGGTACAGCTCTGCCCCGTCCCCCAGCATCACCTTCTTTTTCCTCTTTCTCCCCACTACTGCAGTCAGAAGCCAAATGGGTAGGGCAGATTGCAGACCTGCAGGAGGAGCGGGACAGCTTGGCAAGCGCCGCCATGCAGCGGGAGGAGGAATTCTCTGCACTAAGGGAACAGCTGGAAAAAACCCAGCTCCAACTGGCCAGTGCAAAGGCAAGTGGTGGGCATCCAGACCCTCTAAGCCCCGTGCAAACTCACACCCAATAGGACTCAGGGTCCACGTGGAGGCAGGAGAAAAGGGGATGGAAGTGAAGGGTTAGAGGCCTAGCGCATTCAATGAGCCACACTCCAAGTGCCAGGCTGCTGCTTTTGCCTCACCCATAAAGCCAAGAAGAAGAAAGCAAGGGCGGCCCCTGGCATTGTCTCCCAGGGTAATCACGGCCCAGCCCCATGGCCTCCTGGTGGTGAGCAGCATGCAGCTGGTGACCTCAGGTTAAAGCCTGGGACTATTCAGCAACAGGTGCAGCTCAGGGTGGGTCACAGGGAGCCCCATTCAGGACTCCCTGGGTGGGTGGGGGTTGTAGCAAGCTGTCACCTGCCTGGGGATCCCTTCCCAGGAAGCCGTGTGCCATTTTGCCAAGGACCAACGGAGGATGCTTCTGGAAGGGTCGCGGAAGGCTGCCGAGCAGGTGATCCAGGAGGCCTTGAGCCAACTCGAGGAACCCACGCTCGTCAGCTGCGCCGGGTCTGCAGGTACCCTCATCCAGGTGTGAGCAGAGGCACACCTCGGCAGGGAGGCAGCTCAAATACACAATCACCGAGAGAGGCTGAAAAAAAAAATCGCCATGTTCATTTCCCCCCATCCTGGGTGTGTGAGTCTAGAGGCATGGGGGTGTGCTGAGCAGGTGAGCGGGTACCCCGGGAGTGTTCTGTGATGGAAAGAACTGGGAGGTGGGAGAACATCCAGGCTGTGAGGGTTTGTAAACTTGGGGACATGGCTTGGGATGGCTCACTTCCAAACTCTTGGGGGGTGTGGGAGAAAGGTCAGGACCAAGAAGAAGAAACAATGGAATCCTCACCTCCACCAGTACTTCCTAGGGTGCCCAATGTCTGACCCAGCTCATCCACACAGCGATGCCACGTTGGGAGGGGACAGTGGGGTGGAGTGGGAGGGTCACCCATGATTCCCTGCTATGTGATGAGGAAGTAGACATAATACAGCACAGTGGCATGCAGTGGCACCACAGCAGGTCGTACCTGGGCAGGGCAAGTGGGACTTCAGCGCCTATAGACAGGGGCACAGCGCGCAGGGTTTGACCTGTGTGCAGAGAGCAGGGGTGCGGGAGCAGGCTGAGGGGAGCCAAGGGTCTGAGTTCCAGGGTAGTAATGGACTTCCCAGGGAAGCCCAGGTGTCCTGCCATGGGCAGTCGTGAGCAGTGAGGCTGTGGGCCACAGGCAGACCCACGCAGCAGACTGACCTGATCGAAGCATCCATGGAGTTAGCCACATTCCGTCCCAGTCTCGAATAAAAACAATTCCCTGTGGAATAAAAACAATTCATTAGGTCAGCACCTCCCACCTGGGGCAGCTCCACCAACCACAGGACCCTGGCTCTGACTCTACCCTGTCTTTCCAGAGCACCTTCTGTCCACGGTCAAGTCTGCTTGCAGCTGCTCTGAAGAGCTGGAAAAAAGCCGGAGCCAGTATCTGGCCTGCCCAGAAGGTGAGGGAGGAGGAGGAAGGGATGGGCTGTGACGCATGAGTGACAGCCAGGCAGGGTCCAGATGCAGAAATAATGGCAGCTCTTCTCTCAACTCCTGGCAGATATCAGTGGGTTCCTGCACTCCATCACCCTGCTGGCACACTTGACCAGCGACACCATCACCCACGGTAGCACCACTTGCCTCCGCGCCCCGCCAGAACCTGCTGACTGTGAGTGTACCAGACATGGGGAGGTTAGAAAGGAGGGTGGCAGGTGACCCCTCAACACCGCCATCTCCTTGCACCTGCAGCGCTGACCGAGGCCTGCAAACAGTATGGCAAGGAGACCCTCCTGTACCTGGGCGCCCTAGAGGCGGAGGGAACACTTGACAGCGCTGATCCCACAGCCATGAGGAACTGCCTGAACAAGATCAAGGCCATTGGCGAGGTGCGTTCAGCTGAGGAAAGGGATTGTTTTGGAAAGCTGTAACTTGATTTTAGGAAGAGTAAAGCTGGGGCAGGGAGGGAGGAGTGTGAAAATCAGATTTTTCTGAAGGGGTTTGCAGTTTGCTTAATTCTACAGTTAATTGCAAAGTGGCTGGCTGTGCATTTTCCACTACACTGGGGGTGATATAAGGGTAAGAAAACCATCTTCTTGTCTCCCGGGACTTTTTAATCTGGTTAGATGGATGACACCTAGAACTGGAAATAAGCAAATACTTCATCATTCAATAAAAATGCAGTGATTGCATCCTATAGAATAAGAGTTGGATTAGGTATCATTTAGGTACAGCCAACACATGTAATCTATGGGAAGGACAAATAAGACTAATGGTTTCTCCTCTTCTGTAAGATTTATTTATGTATTTGAAAAGCAGAGTTACAGTGAGGAAGGAAAACCAGAGAGGGAGAGATCTTCTATCTGGTTAACCTTTCATGTGGCTATCACAGTCAAGTCTTGGCCAGGCTGAAGCCAAGAGCCAGGATCTTACCCTGGGTCCCCACAGGAGTGGCAGGAACCCAAGGGCTTGGACCATCTTCCACTGCTTGCCCAGGTGCATTAGCAAGAAGCAGGCTGAGAAGCAGAGCAGCCGGGACTCAAACCTGTGCCTGTGTGGGATGCTGACCTCCCAGTTAGCAGCTTAACCCACTGCAGCACATCACAGCCCTGAGAATACCTGTCAGGTAGCACAGACTCGGCACCTGCAAAAGCAGTGGAAGACAGCACATACGTTTGAGCCCCTGCCTCCCATGTGGGACACGCAGATGCAGGTCGAGGCTCCTGACAGCCTGGCGCAGCCCCAACTGTGGCAGTCATCTGGGGAGTGACCCAGCAGATGAACCATCTCTTTCTGTATCACTCTGGCTTTCAAAGAAATCAAACCTTTTTTTTTCTTAAGGTTTATTTTTATTAGAAAGTCAGATATACAGGGAGAAAAAGAGACAAATCTTCTGTAGGCTGATTCACTACCCAAGTGGCCTCAATGGCTAGAGCTGAACTAATACAAAGCCAGGAGCCTCTTCTGGATCTCCCACGTGGGTGTAGGGTCCCAAGGCCCTGAGCCAGCCTCTGCTGTTTTCCCAGATCGCAAGCAGGGAGCTGGATGGGAAGTGGGGCCATCAGGATTAGAATCTGCACCCACATGGGATCTCAGTACGTGTAAGGCAAGGACTTTAGCCACTAGACTACCACACCAGGCCCAAAACATTTTTTTTTAAATCTATGAGCTTTGGGCCCGGCGCGGTGGCGCAAGTGGTTAAAGGTCCTCGCCTTGCACGCCCGGGATCCCATATGGGCGCCGGTTCTAGTCCCGGCAGCCCCGCTTCCCTTCCAGCTCCCTGCCTGTGGCCTGGGAAAGCAGTGGAGGACGGCCTAAAGCTTTGGGAACCTGCACCCGCGTGGGAGACCCGGAAGAGGCTCCTGGCTTTGGATCGGCATAGTATCGGCCCGTTGCGCTCACTTGGGGAGTGAATCATCGGATGGAAGATCTTCCTCTCTGTCTCTCCTCTCTGTATATCCGCCTTTCCAATGAAAAAATAATAAAAAATAAATCTTTAAATCTATGAGCTTTGCCATCCATCAGACCCAAGTTCAAATACCACACTGTGGCCTGCACCAGCAGTACAGCTCCTCACCTATGCTGCCAGAGCAGTAACTTACTGGAAACAACATTGTCTGTATTTGATCAAGTTGTTAAAAGTGCTTTCCATGGAGCAAATGCAGCCAACATGGTACACATGTGGGGTTAGGGTCCCAGCAGCTGTGGCTCAGTGACCTGGCAAGGTTAGGCAGTGAGGTAGGGTTAAGGCTATGGTGAGGGTTAGGGTTTGGCTTCCTGCAACCAGGAGGGCAGGACGAGGAGTGATGTGGGCCTTCCTCCTTTCCTGCTTGCCATCCTGTAAGGGCAACAGGTGCACCAACAGGGCCGGGCCAGATGGTCAAGTGGTCAATTCCACCTTTGTGAATCTCTTGACAGGAGCTCCTCCCCAGGGGCCTGGACATCAAGCAGGAGGAACTCGGGGACCTGGTGGACAAGGAGATGGCCACCACTTCCGCTGCCATTGAGGCAGCCACGGCTAGAATAGAGGTAGGCTGCCAGGGTGGGGGTTGGCACACTGCCACCAGTTCTTAGAGCTATGCTTGGGCGGCCACACACCCCATTGCACCTGTCCCAGTCATTTATCAAGGCTAAGGACAACCCCCTACACTTTACTGCCCACTAACCCCAGAAATGAGACCAAATCCCAAACTCAGCAGCACCTCTCAGGGGGCTGGAAAGGGAAGGACCCTCAGAGAAGGAGATAAGTGGTCTCAGGATCAGCCCCTCCTGATGTTGGCATGCTCGGAGTCCCCGTCTTAGCCCCGGCCCTGCCACTAAAATGGCTTCACTTGGATGCCATCCTGATGCTGCTTCCACAGTGGTAGCGGCAGCCATACCCCACCCCAGAGGCCTGGCACTAGGGTCCAACATGGCCGTGCACACCTCTGATTTTCCCTACGCCCCTCATCAATGATGGTGGGTCATGCCTAGAAGGCTCAGTGGTCACCACTGGAAAGGCCCCAGGGTGCTCCTTTGGGGGGGCGAGAAGACCCGAGACATCGCTGTCTCTGGGACCCCACCAGGTTGTAGCTGTCGGGGTTCCTACTGGGCATACAAGCCCAGGGAGTGAGGCTGCAGAGACTACCACCTGCCGCCCCTGCCTGATGCATCCACACAGATACAGGCCTCTCAGTGCATTTTGAAAACCGTTTTATGTTTCGTTGTATTTTTCAAACAGGAAATGCTCAGCAAATCCCGCGCGGGAGACACGGGGGTCAAGTTGGAGGTGAACGAGAGGTTAGTCTGTGCCACAGTGGCACCTGCTTGGGCATAAGCTATATTCTGGACCTGGGGCTGTGTCCTGTGCACACACGCCCAGGGGGTCAGAGCAGAACCCGGGAAGGACCAGGGCTGGGTGACCATCTGGTGACAGTGTCCATAGTGACAGTGAGGTCGCCATCACATTCGACAGCACTGGCTCTGGGTGTTGGCAGCCCTGACCACCTCCTTTGCTCCCCACCCCACACCCTGCAGGATCCTCGGCTCCTGTACCAGCCTCATGCAAGCCATCCAGGTCCTGATTGTGGCCTCAAAGGACCTCCAGAGAGAGATCGTGGAGAGTGGCCGGGTAAGCCCACGCAGGCTGGACCCGCCTGTGGGAACCACGGACATTGGGTATAGGCCCCACCCGGATCGTGAGAGTCCCCTCCATGTCCCTAGGCTCTGGCAGAGATAGTGTCTGGTCCTGGGCACCCACCACGGATGAGCTGCCCTTTGCCTCTGTCACTTGTCAGGTCTACTGAGCTCCACTAACTCCCCAGGGGCCAGTGGACCACGCTATGACCACAGCTGAGCAGCCCATTATTGAAAGAAAAAAAAAATTTTTTGAAAAACAGAGTGACAGAGAGAGGGAGAGAAATGGGGAAAGAGAGAGAAAGAAATCTTCTGTTTTGCTGGTTCCCTCCCTAAATGGCCTCAACAGCCAGGGTTGAGTCAGGACAAGGCCAGAATTCTAGAACTCCATCCAGGTCTCCCACGTGGGTGTGCAGAACAGGATGTGAGCGCTGCAGGCGACAGCTTAACCTGTCGCTCCACAAAGCCAATCGCCTCATATAAACTTGAAATCTTTTCTCAGTGGCTTATACCACATGCAGTGCAAATGATAGTGCAAGCAGTTGTCCTACTGTATGTTTTATTCTCCCCCCAAAATAATGTGGAACAGGGATTTGTTAAATACACAGTTTGGGGAGTGCCCAGAAAAGGAGGACTTAACTATGGGAAGGCTTTAGGGGAGTAGAAACACTGCCAACCTGGGCCAGTGCTGTGGTGTAGCAAGAAAAGCTGCAACCCACAACAACACTATCCCGTATGGGCCAGTGGTTCAAATCCTGGCTGCTCCACCTCCGATCCAGCTCCCTGCTAATGTGCCTGAGGGAACAGTGGAGGATGGCCCAAGGACTTGGGCTTCCTGTACTGAAGCAGCTCCTGGCTTCAGACCAGCCATCATTGTCACCATTTTAGGGTGTGACACAGTGGGTGGAATACCTGTGTGTGTGTGTGTGTGTGTGTGTGTGTGTATAACTACATTCTAAATAAATATTTTAAGAGAAAGAAAATGCTGCCAAGCTTAGGGAGAATCCTAGGATGGACTGCCCTATAGTTGGAGTGCGACCTCGGGGGCAGCATGTCTGCCGCTTTCTCCGCTGTGCAATGGGCTGGTTGTGCCCATGACCCCTGAGAGTTCCTGGGAGAGCTCATGTTGTGGTTTGACCAGAGCCCTCCGGGAAAGGTGACCATCGCCCCCTCCCTGTCACCTCCCAGGGTACCGCCTCCCCAAAGGAATTCTACGCCAAGAACTCCCGCTGGACGGAAGGTCTCATCTCCGCCTCCAAGGCTGTAGGCTGGGGAGCCACCGTCATGGTGTAAGGGGTCCCCTTCCTCACCCCACTTCCCTTCACCCACCCCAGGGTGTGGCTATGGGGGACATCGTCCCCGTATAGTCCCCAGAAAGGGACAATTGCTAAGGAAGTCAGTAGGTCTGTAAGTCCCAGAGCCAAGCTGCAGCGACATAGATGCTACAGGCGTTGTCACCTTCCAGGGACGTCAGGAGGGTCTAAAAGTGGGGTCTACCACTTGAAGAGTTCCCTTGGAACAAGCCCCACCTCAGAGACCCTGGGATGAGTGGGAGGCTGGGTGGGGCTTCTCCCTTTACCTCCACCCTTACCCCAGATACAGAAAAAAAGAAAGAATGTGGAAACAATGGTCTTACCCACTTTCCTATAGCCCTTGCCCCTTTGTGCCCTAATGAACTATATAAAGGTTATCAAAATAAAATAATAATATAAAATAAAATAATAATTTTAAAATAAAATAATAATTTTAAATAAATAAAAGTGGGGTCTGTGTGTGACCTGGCCCAGGAGCAAGGTCATGACCTGCCTATGACACCTTGTTCAGATTGGGATCTGTTATGATCTTGTTCTGGACTGGCTCATGACTTGTCTGACCTTGTCCGTGTCCTTTTCTGTCAGGGATGCAGCCGATCTCGTGGTACAAGGCAAAGGAAAATTTGAGGAGCTCATGGTGTGTTCACGTGAAATTGCTGCTAGCACAGCCCAGCTGGTCGCTGCATCCAAGGTAGGACCTTGTGTTGGACTCTAAGAGCTGGGGTAACCTGGGACAGCCCAGCTGATGCCAAGGGTCAAGATGGTTGGGTCAGGTGGCTCTGTGGCGCAATGGATAGCGTATTGGACTTCTAGTGACAACAAGATGGTTGGGTCCGGATTTAAAAAAAAAAAAAGTCTTCTCATACATTGACGTCATGAAAAGAGCGTCCTCACCAGTTGGGATTCGTGGAGCTGGGTCCCCAGGTCACCTAACCTGGCTCCCCTTGCACAGCCTGCATCTACCCCTCCCTCCTGAGTCTCGGAACTTGAACAGTGGCCTCCAGCAAAGCCCACAGCCACACTGCACCCCAATGACAACGACAAGTGCCCTTTCGTGCTCTGCTCCAGATGAGCAAAGAGCGCTGCTGAAATTGGGGGGACCTCCCAGCAGATGAGCCAGGACTGTTGGTTTGGTTATAGACATGCCAGGAGCTGATCCCATAGGCAGCCATGTCTGAGATGTTGGTGGGTAACCCACGTGGTTGTCGAGAGCCACCCAATACAGCACCTCCGTCCCTGTTGCTGCCCTGGCCAGGGCAGGAGACCCAAGTCTGCTCTATCCTGGCAGGTAAAAGCCGACAAGGACAGCCCCAACCTTGCCAAGCTGCAGCAGGCATCTCGGGGAGTGAACCAGGCTACCGCTGGGGTCGTGGCCTCCACCATCGCTGGCAAATCCCAAATCGAGGAAATAGGTAGGCTCACCCACTGTTCCCCCTCCAGAGAAACAGCTACACCAACTTGAGGAGCCGCCTCTCCCTTTCCACACCCCCACCCCTGCTCTGACTCCCTCCTTCCTTCCCGCCGGGTCCCTTGCCCGGGACACTCTGGGTCAAGGTCTTCTCCTTTGTCCCCTCGCAGACAGCATGGACTTCTCCTGCATGACGCTGACGCAAATCAAACGCCAGGAGATGGACTCACAGGTGAGGACTGTGCACCTCGAGGTCTTACTGGTCTCCAGGGCTTAGACGTAGGCCCCCAGTCTGATTCTTGTGAGGGAAGCCAGAGAGAGAGAGAGAGACCTTGGTCCGGGATGAGCCCAGAACACCCAGCAGCTCAGGACTGATTGTGGAAGGCTGGGTAAAGGACTGGGTCCTAGCAGGGCTCTAAGTGTCATCAAGATATCCCAGCAAGCCAAGAACTTAGTGGGATTGGAAAAGCAAAGAGACAGAGTTCTTCCCTGTTTACTACCCTGCTGCAAATGTCCGTAATAGCCAGGGCTGTGCTGGGCTAAGGCCAGGAACCAGGATACTCCATCCAGGTCTCACCTAAGTACTTGAGCCATTGCCTGCTGTCTCCTAGGGCAGGGCGGGAAGCTGGATGGAAAATGGAAAAACCCAACATGCTGACTTGAGATATAGGCATTTCAAACACTCTTGGCTTTAAATACTACCTGTCTGAAAGCAGCAGCAGGTACTTCTCCCCAGCCTACACCCCCATCACCTCCTCACACCTGGCCTGTGGGCCCTGACGATGTCTGTGTCTCAGGCCCATTTCATGTCTCCGTCCCATTTGCATCATCCTTGGCATACCTCAGTCAGCTTGTTTTGTATTAATGACAAAACGCCTGAGCAACTGACACCACAAAGAGAAAGGATTTCTAAAGCTCAGCATTTGGGAGGTTCCAGGAGCTGGTCACCTCCTAGGTTTGACCTTGTAAAAGCATCAGAGAGCTGATGTATAGAACATTCTATCTCCGCTTTCCCCTCCCCTCCAACAGGTCAGGGTGCTGGAGCTAGAAAATGACTTGCAGAAGGAACGCCAGAGGCTGGGAGAGCTGCGGAAAAAGCACTATGAACTTGCAGGGGTCACTGAAGGCTGGGAAGAAGGTAAGGTGACCCCAAGGGCCAGCTCAGCTTGCAGCCAGGAGAGGAAGTGGCATGGCCAGGCACTTTGCCAACAGAACAGAGCCAGGGACCCACGGGTTGCTGTTGGGTAGATGAAGAGGAAGGCAAAAGTTGTCACTGTCACCTGTGAGACCTAGATAGATAGCGTGTGATGGATTTGCCCTTCACCCCACTACATGGGCTCCCCCCAAAGGCCTGGTTCACCTGGCTGGTTCTCTCGCCCAACCCTGGCCATTGCCGGGGAAGGCTGCTGTCTGGCCAGCATGGAGTTGAGTTGTGACTGAGTAGCAGGCAGCAGTGATGTGTCTAAAGGATGGGCAGGTGAATTACAAAGTTGTGCCAGTCTCAAGCCACCCGGGACCCAATCAAAAGGCTTGGCTTAGAGTGGATTATTACACCTGCCATCAGCCAGAGGCTCTCTGTGTGTGTGTGTGTGTGTATACACATACGCTGCTTGTCCACACGTCCAAGAATTTCTTGGCTTTCATTGGACTTGACCAAATCTGGAAAGCAGCTTTAGCTAAGCTATCATCCACACAGGCAGTGTTATACGACATCATCTGTCTCTGTCCTTTTAGAATCGGAAGCAACTCCACCTTCCCTACAAGAAGCCGGGAGCGAGAAAGCCTAGACCTGCACAGTGCCCCATCCGTCAGAGCGTAAATCCTGTGACCCATCTCTGTGTGGGTGTGGGTGTCATTGTCCCTTGTCCCCAGTCCACGTCTGCTCCCTGTCCCTCAAAAGGCTCCCTGCACCCTCTTCTTTCTCTCCCTGCTCCCCCACTGTCCAAGGCAGCCAGGGAACAAGAGGTGGTCACGTGGGCCCCCACTGTGGTCGGAGTTCAAACCCCACAGTGGCTGGTGTCCTCCTGGACCTCGATGATGTGGCAGCAGCAGTGGTGTGGCATGGCATGGCATGGCCAGGAAGAGCTCATGCCTTTTCTGGTTTTTTTTTTTTTTTTCTTTTGTTTTTTGGTTTTTTTCTTCTTAGTCCTTTCCGTTTCATCATTTGCACAAACTTGCGAGCTCCTGAGGGCTGGTGGATCCCAACCCAGGACACACTGGGCGCCAAGTCTACCTAATCAGTCGGGAACAGCAGGGAGTGTCCTGGCTGAGAACACCCATGCCCGCAGTCATGGCCATGGCCATCCTCACCCCCATGGCTCCCAAGGCCTCGCCCGGGTCAAACACATTGCTCACTCACCCACGTGTCCCCCTAACCACACTACCCACCCCCACACACACACTCACACCTGACCCCAGGAGCTCTGATTCACCCAGGATGTATCCCCACAGCCTCCCTCCCAAGGCCACAGCAGTCAACAGCCACGGTGCTGCGCCCGGGCGTCCCCTTCGGTGCTCCCCTGCGGCCTCCCACGCTGGGTGTCCTGCCCAGCATGCACCGGCCAGCCGAGGCCCCTCGCTGAGGGTCGGCGGCAGCTTCCTGCAAAAGGCCGAAACCGAGCGAGCGAGTGCCTTGAGTCCCCATAGCCTCCGCACCACCCTGTCCACTTTCTGAGTGACGGGGGTAGACGGAGCCACACACCCGACCCAGGCCTTCTTCAGGGGCTGTGCCCAAGCTGGACAAGAGACTGCCACTTCCCTGGCCCCTGCGCATGTGTGAGAACGCCCTCCAAGGAAGACAGTTCCATGGACAAACCTGGACAGCTCCAGGCTTCCAGAGGGGCCCCTGTGCTGGACAGCGAGCGGGGCAGGGCTGGCCCACTGATGACTACACCTCCTTGCAACGTCAAAGACACTGGGAGCCCTCGGGAGCTCAGATGTGGCCATGGAAGGTTGGCATTAAGTCCCATGACATCAGCTTCAAGACTCCAGCATGAGGCCCTGGACGCCACTCCCAGACTTGCTGCTGCCTCCCTGCCCCTCAACGTTAGAAACGAGAAAGGGGGAACCCCAGCTCTGAAACCTTCCAGCTACGTGTCCCCAGCACGCCGCTATCCTGCAGACCCGATAGAGGACAGAGAGCACAGGGGCAGCCTCCTTCACACAGGCAGCCTTGCCAGCACTTTGCCACTCTCCCGAGACAGACCCCAACATTTAAGTGCCCTTCTGAGCTCAGAAACAAACCAACAGCGTCTTCCTTCTCCATCTGTAGTAGCAGCTCCTGGCCGCAGCCAGCTTCTCCTGGAACAGTGGTCCGTCTCGCCACAGAACTCATTAGGAGACTTCTGTCTGATCACTGTGAATCGATTACCCCTGCCCCCATCCTCTCACCCCCACTCCCACTTTCTCTGTCTCTCTCTCTCTCTCTCTGCATTTTCTAAGTGAAGCACCCGCAGAACTTTCTCCCAGGAACTCCGATGACCGTGTGCACACATGGAAACCCTGGAGACCAGGCTGAGGAGGCGTCCACAGTGTAGACTCTGGACAGTCTTTGAGCTTCGCCTGAGTCTGTCTCAAGGAGAAGCGTGAGGCATCCTTGGCCTGGCCGTGCCAATTAACGCACAACATGAGTCATGGCCATGGTGACCAGTGAGGAGGGATCGGGGCCAGATACCTAACATGTTGAATCTTAACCAGATGGAGTCTCTGAAGAAATAATACTCCCAATTAGAAGCCAGATTATCCCCTCCCCCCCATACATACCCTTCAGTAAACTTTTCCTGGGCTTAGCCTGAGCAAGGAGACACAGTTGCTCACAAAGGCAGCAGGAGGGGGTGGCCTTCGTGGCCAGCTCAGAGGAGACGGACACCTCTCCATTCTTAACCCAGAATGCAAGCATCTGGGCCTTGGCTGGTGTCTAAACTGCCCATGTAATCATTCGTGTGGGATCCCTGGAATGACAACAGAAGATGGCATGGTAGGAACTAGAAATGTAACAGCTTTATCATCGGGTCCCCAGGCAGGGACGGTGACTGAAGAAAGTTCACGCCTCTCATCGTTGGTGACCGAAGGCATGCACGGGTCGTGACAAAAGAGGGCAACAACAGAATTCACAGTTTAGTTAAAAAACCATGTTACTTTTTATTCTGTTAGAGCAAGGATAGCTGTGTGTGTGTGTATGGCAAGGAGGGGAGGAAGACCAACTTTGGTGGGGGTTTATGCCAGGTGATGCAGGGATGGCAGGTGCAAGTTGTGTCAGATCCACCTACCTTGGCCTTTTGTGCCTAAGGAGGCAGAGGAGGGGCAGCTGGCTGCCAGCTGCACCCTGGCAAACTTCCACCCTTTGGCTAGTTGCTTGGTGCAAGACCAGGGTCCACTGGCTCCACCTCAAGCTGCTCTATTGAGAACTATCTGCTCAGCGCTCCACCCCCTTCTGTGACCTCTCCAAGTCTCTGGAAGCCCTGCCTGCTTCCCGGGCTCAGCCTTCAGCCCCAACAGCTCGCCAGCGGGGTGGCACCCTTTCTTCACCTAACCTTGGCCCCGTGAGCAGGGCCAGGCATGTGCTACTATGTCCTTTGATGTCACAGCTGGACCAGACATGGGGGGCAGCCACCCACCGCCTGCCTGCCCCCCAACCCCAGCAGCCGAGACACCGTGGAACACTTGGGTGGACACCAGTTCAGAGAGTAGATTTTTCTAGATTTGTCTTTCAAGTGACCCTCAACTACCTCAGGCTTAAAGGCCCTAACTTGATCTGGTGACCACTCGTGGGGGCCAGCCGAGGAGGCGTGATAAGATCCCCGGGGATGACACAGACAACACGGACTTGGCCACTGAGGCTTGCACGGTGGGGGTTACCTTGGTTTCTGTTCTAGTGTTCACCTTCTGCCCCTCGCTCTTCCATTCCCAGAGTTCCTATGGTTTTCAACTTCTTGCCCAGCACCTGCCTTCACAGACAGGTAGCCACTGGCCTTCACTTTCTTCTGACAAAACTTTTATTACGGTGGTTGGACCTTTCTCTTTGTATATATAATACAGTGCTTCTGTGTTTTCAATTTTTTTTTTTCAAATAAATATCTCAGCCTGGCCATGGAGAAGAGTCTTGCTAGTTGACTGGCCAGAGGGACTCAAAGGCTTGATTTAATATCCCCAAGGTTCACGGGATCACTTAGCTCGGCTTCCTTGGGGAGGAGAGAGCTCAGAAACGTTTACTGGTGCTTGGAAGATCGATTCAAAAAGCTGAATGACAAGGGCAAGCACCGGGGCTTAACAGACTAACGCCCCTTCTTACAGCACTGGCATCACATATGGGCCCCAGTTCTAGCCTGGTGAGTCAGAAAAACTGCATAAAAATACTGAGACTTGGGCCCAGCGCAATAGCGTAATGGTTAAGGTCCTTGCCTTAAACGCGCCAGTTCTAATCCTGGAAGCTCCACTTCCCATCCAGCTCCCTGTTTGGGACCCTGCTCCTCTATGGGAGATCCGGAAGGAAGTTCCTGGCTCCTGGCTTTGGATAGGCGCAGTACCGGCCGTTGCACTCACTTGAGGAATGAATCATTGGACGGAAGATCTTCCTATCTCTCCTATCTATATATCTAACTTTCCAATAAAAATAAGTAAATCTAAAAAAAGAAAAGATTTATTTTTATTTGAAATGCAGAGACGGACGGAGAAAGGAGACAGATGTCCACTTGCTGGTTCTCTCCTCATGGCCACAATGGCTAATGATGGGCCAATCTGAACCCAGTAGTCACATGGGTGCAGGGTCCCAAACAGATCATCTTCAGCTGCTTCCCCAGTTGCATTAGAAGGGAGCTGGATTGGAAGCAGAGCAGCTGGCATGTGACTTAGTGTCCATCTGGAATGTTGGCAATGCAGGCAGAGAGGCCTAACTCACTATACCATGATACCCCTATCATGGTTTCTTTTTTTAAAGATTGATTTATTTTTATTACAAAGTCAGAGAGGAACATCTTCTGTCCGATGATTCACTCCCCAAGTGAGCACAACAGCCAGTGCTGTGCCAATCCGAAGCTGGGAACCAGGAACTTACTCCAGGTCTCCCACGTGGGTGCAGGGTCCCAAGGCTTTGGGTCTTCCTCTACTGCTTTCCCAGGCTATAGGCAGGGAGCTGGCTGGGAAGTGGGGCCACCATGACACCAACCAGTGCCCATATGGTATCCAGGCGCATACAAGGCAAGGACTTTAGGCATTAGGTTACCACACTAGGCCTGTATCATGGTTTAATAAAGGGACTAATCCTCTTACATCTTATGATCTATTGCCTTCCGCAGACCACACCTCCGGCTGCCGTCACCCTGAGGATTAGGGCTTCAATAGGCATTAGCAGAGATTCACTGAGCTAAGCAGGCTTGAACCATCCTAGACAGGAGGATGGGCAGTAGTGCTCAACTTAAGTGTCAGGGTTCACCAATCTGAAGCCAGGAGTCCAGAGCTTCTTCCAGGTCCCCCTTGTGGGTGCAGGGCCCCAAAGCTTTGGGCCATCCTCATACTGCTTTCCCAGGCCACAAGCAGGGAGCTGGTTGGATTAGAACTAGTTCTACCAGGATTAGAACTAGTGCCCATATGGGATCCTGGCACGTGCAAGGCAGGGACTTCAGCCAACATGCTACCGCGCTGGGCCCTTATCTATAATCTTTTGTAAATAAATAAAAGACGACGGAGGCAGCAGCTTGCAGAGCTAAAGAAGATCTTGAAGGGACGTACGTGAGGTCGGGGAGGAAGGCTTTTTGGGGCCGCTCTGTCCCCACAGGGCCCATCAAAATCCTGGTACCTGTGAGTGCCAGAACCCTGTTGGCAGTCATGACCCCAAGGGCACCTGCTCCACTTGGGACAGAACTTAGTGTAGGGAAGCGCCCCGCCCCGTTTCCCCGGCAACCGGGGGCTCGCGCGCCTCCTCCCATGAGACGCCCTCAGTGACGTGGCACCCTCAGTGACGTGGCACCCTCAGTGACGTGGCACCCGCGCTCGCGGCCGCCCACAGCACCAGATACCACCTCCTGTTGGTTCTGAAGCCCTGGCACCCATCAGATCCGCGGCCCGGGCTGCCCAGGGAGCCCGGGGCAGGGGCTTCGGGCTCAGGACCACCTTGTCACCCTCAGCACCGCCTGCGGGGGCCGCGTCCAGGTAAGAGCCCTCCCCTCTGCGGGAGACCCACCAGGCCTCTCGTGGTGCCCGGGTTTGGTTCTGTCAGGCCAAGGCTGCCATTAGGGACACCAGTCCCAGCAGGAGGCCCCACCAACCAGCAAGTCCCTCTACTCACTTTGCCACCCGAGCTGGGACTCTCTTTCCCTGCTTTCTGGCCCTCAGCTCAGCACCGCACACTTGGACCATCCACTGCTGCTTTCCCAGGAGCAGTAACAAGAAGCTGGATAGAAAGTGGAGCAGCCAGGATGCGAACCTGCACCCATATGGGATCCCAGCACTTGTATACAGTGGATTAGCGTGCTATGACACCAGGCCAGTTCCAGTTGACTGATTTTGATCAACCCAATCTTCGCAAAACATTTATAAATAGATTATTTACTTGGTGGAAAACTTTCGCCAGTTCCCAATTATCATCCAAAGACTTGTTAGAATGGCAGTGAAGTTCTTGATCCTTGCTTTCAATTTTTTTTTTAAGATTTATTTTAATTGAAAAAGCAGATATACAGAAAGGAGAAGAGACAGACGGACAGATCTTCCGTTTGATGATTCACTCCTCAAGCGGCCGCAATGGCCGGAGCTGAGCTGATCCAAAGCCAGGAGCCCAGATCCTCTTCCAGGTCTCCCACGTGGGTGCAAGGATCGCAAAGCTTTGGGCCATCCTCGACTGCTTTCCAAGGCCAAAACCAGGGAGCTGGATGGCAAGCAGGGCTGCCAGGATTATAACTGTCGCCCATATGGGATCCTGGTGTGTTCAAGGTGAGGAATTCAGCCACTAGGCCACTGAGCCAGGCTTCACTTTTTTTTTTTTTTTTTTTTTAACTGATGTATTTGAAAATCAGAGAGTGACTGAGAGGAGAGAGAGGGAGGGGTCTTGCATCCACTAATTTCACTTCCCAAGTGGCTTCAACAGTCAGGGCTGATCCAGCAGGAGCTTCATCTGGATGTCCCGTCAGGGTGACAGGGCCTAGGAGGCACTTGAGTCATCTCTTCTGCTTCTCCCAGACCATAAGCAGGGAACCGGATGGGAAGTACAGCAGCCAGCACAGCGATCGGTCCCTGTGTGGGATGCGAGCCGCCATGCCAGCTCCCTTCTCAGATCTGTCCACCATGAACAGAGACTCCCGGAAAATCAGGAAAAGAACAGGTGAACAAAAGGAGAATACCAATCAAAAAAAA